CGTTCCCGCTCCGTCTAAAAGCCTTTCCAGTTCCAACTCAAAGTCGAATTCGTGATGTATCCTATATGAACATCAATAGCACAACATATTTCTCTCACATTCAGTCTGGGTAGAAATTACTTCAAAAACCTCAAAGTTACAGGTTCTGTGAATTCGATCTCACGCTGCTCCGTCCATGAGGAAACTAGCCGACATTAAAATAGTCGGCAAATAGTCCTCTCTAGAAGAAGTTGTCTTACCACCTGCCATTGGCGCCTATGAAACTGGGTGTAACCCGCCACCTGAACTGTAACAGATATCAAATTAGCCAAAAGGTGCAGATTTCTAGGTTTCAATCATTCGCGTTACCTTATGAAGAAAGAACGCTTTGTGCTGCAAAGCGCAACAGACCTATCACATCCGCTATCTTCAGGCGCGGTCTTTATACTCGAAAATGAAAAACAAGGTGCTAAGTGGACCCTCGATGAAGAAAAAAGGAGAAGATATTACCTAAGGCTCTCAAAAAGGGAACAGCCTTCCTAAAAAGCTAATTTCCAGACAGGACAGGCAGGGACAAAGTTTGAGACACTCTGCGCCGAGGCGAGGGAACAGACGCGCAAGAGAGCATAGCAGAAAAGCGAAAGCGCAGACACTCCGCCGCGTAGATGGGGGCGGGGGGAGGAGGGGGGGGGGGCGTTGCAGTTCTCCTCCTCAAGTCAGGTCACCTAAAATTGAGACACCACTCATTTGCTCGGAGCAAGCTTAGGACTAAGCCTAGGCCCAATCATAGGCTTAAGCATAAGCCAATGTGTAAGCATAAGCCTAAGCCTAAGCCTGCACCCAAGCTTAACCTTAGGCTTCAATGGTCGCGCGATGATGTGGTGACCTGACCCCAGGAGAGCTGAGGCCGATGTCAGACTTTGCGAATCGCGCGATTCGCTACTAGCGATTCGCGCGATTCGCTAGCGTCCGCGGTCGCGTTGCGGTACCAGCCAATTGAGTGATTCACTGAACGATTCCCCCGTAGATGGTCGCCTACAGCCACAGAAGCGCACAAGCAGCTGGAGTGGCCCTACTGCCTTTGTCAGACACTTTCGAGATTCGAAAACGGCATAGCCCTTGAGCTTGCTAACCGCGTTACCCCACTCCGGAGAAAGATTGTTCCAGTGTACTTCCAAAACAAAGCACATCCACAGCACGGTAAGGCCGATGTCAGAATTTGTGTATCGAGC